GGCAGAGACAAACCTTTCCTGTGAGAATATGGTTTCTTAAAAGTGACTTCAATTTTCTCCTTCCCTATAAAAAAATTAAATGCAATTAGGTCATATGATGTGCTGGGTAGAGCATGTAAAATCCCTATGGATACCTCAATATTAAAGTCAAGCTACTTGAGTGAAGACCACAGATTGAGTTTCAGACTGAGAGACACATGTTTTCTTTCAGTTAATAATTTGCCTTGTTCTCTCTGTATCCCTGGTTCTCTTTTTTTCAGGAGTAAAGCAAAGTATTTGTTGTTTGCCCACTTCACTGAATGAACAACCAGAATTTTAATGAACTAAAGGATATGCATACGGAAAACCACATGGTATAGAAACTTCAAGGAGTATTAATTTATTAATAAACCTATAAAGTGAGAAAACCAACCAACATGATACCCTACTTTCTCACATTGTCAAAATTGCCATTTTCTTAAAACGTGAGGGTTTTTCTGTATATCTTGTACTAAGCTATATAAGACCTCTTAATTTAATATTATCCATACCACATCCGTGCTGGTCAAAAACCTCATGGTACCATTGTCAATCTTGTCAAAAGCAGAATTTACTGGCACCAAAATGGTCAGGGAAGCCCCCAAACCACTCAATTCTGCAGCAATTTCAGATGACTGGTAAAAAAAAAAAAATTAACATCCACATTTAGGTCACAACAACAGAACATTTCAATCATGGCCATTTGTCAAGTATAGAGCAGAAAATTTACTACTTGCCAAAAGATAAACAAATCAACAAATCAAGTTAAATCACCATTTCTAAATCTGTCATTCGTTTTTTTTCAAGCTCGAAACATTAACCAACCAAGAGCTTTCATCTTATTCAGTTTCAACCTACCTGTAAAAGTGAGGCAAAAATTGAAAATCTACTTTGTGCCCACAGGACCTGAAGCAATGATTTCTAGAAGAGAACACAAAGTGGTAAATGAATCATTACAGTATGACTGTTTTTTCTTGGAAATGATGTTAGCTAGTGGGTAATTAAGACTCGACTGATTCATGATTGGTTGGTTTTTATCCATCTGTGTAATGTTACAATTGTAATGTGGGTCACTCACATTTCTTAATTAATTAATTAATTGTTAATTAATTGAAAGTACTTTGTAAGGTACTGGCAATTTGTCGACACTTGTTGAAGAGAGTCAATTCTAAGTTTAACTTTAAGTAAAACATTAAGTTCTCCAGAGTCTTTTGGGCAACTAATGAAAACTTACAGAGCTTGTTTCTTGATATTCTCCGACATGCCACATAATCTTGTCAATGACATGAATCATCCCATTACCAGCTAACAAATCACGGAATAGCACTGATGCATTTACAGGCTGGTTGTCCAGTTTTAAGTACATGACATTCTGTAAATAACAGTAAATAACAGCAATAAAGATGATATTAATGATCAGAAAAGCACTAAACAGTTGTCAACTAGAGAAAGACAGTAGAGGTAGATGCAGACTCTGGTATCAAGTCACAAATTAAAACATCTTATCAGTTCTTTCAATTTCAAATACAAAAAGATGGTTTTTAAAAAGACCATATGCTTACTTACATCCATTTAAAGTATCCATGCATGCATTAATTTAATTTATAACTTTTAACCTGGTATTCTGAGATGCTTGCATCAATCCCCTGTAGTGTTGTAACTTTTTTGTACTTTTTCAACAATGTGGAGTCTAAATCAGCAGCCACTAAGTGTCGACTGACAAAATGTGACGCCATGTCTTTGTTTGCTAATAGCTCACTCAGCTAAGGATGAAGCAAAAATGTGTCAGTGAGTAAGATGCAAGACAGGCCCTTTCCCTGGGAAATAAGGCCAATTAGCTTTTACCTTCTGGCAAAGGGTTTCCACTAAAAAAGGGTTACTGGCAGTATAAATTGACATCAGATTTTGTACAAATCAAATTAATTTGCCACAATTTCAAAGCTGCAACAGAATGATCTGTTCAGACTACAGATACCACCAATTAGTCTAGCTACTGAAGCATGAATTTAGGAAACAATTGAGCACCCTGTGAATTTCTCTACTGCATGATTGTGCAAAATAATTCTCTCCCATTGTTCCCACTTTTGAAAATCCTTTTGAGACACTAGTTAATCTTGAAACAGCAATATTTCCAATTCCACCTGTTTTCACACAAGTACCTAACAATTATTTTTATTTACTATAAAACTATTGCATGTACCTCTTTTCCATAAAAACTATTACCTCTTCTTGTGTGAGATTTGAAAATGCACTGTTCACCATTACAAAAAGAGTAAATGGACCTGCTCCAGAAAGAGCCGAGTGCATAAATGAACCTGTCAGCAAATCAATAGCTGTGGTCAGCTGTCCCTTGAGTCCATCTGGGCCATCCAAGTTCAGGTCTTTTACCCTCTGCAATCACAAGAACACACATTTTAGCTCATAAATTGTACTACACAGATCAGGATAGGGGCTGCATGGTCTTTTTCAAAGGGTGCAGAGGGAGGTAACAGTTGCAAACTTGTGTGAGGCTTACGAGGGACTTAAACCCCTTCTCTACCCTGTGTACATGTGGCCTCATATTCACATTCATGTAGTAAGAAGAACGGCCAAAGGAAGTATCTAACCAAGAGAAGACTAAAAATTTATGCAGTGTAGATTATCCATATTTGCACATTGTGGCAAAATTGAAGTATCAAGTTTGTTTACTGTTGATTTCAAAAAATCATCTCACAAAGGGGTTCCTACACCCAAGAACCCCACCCTGCTGCTAAGCCCCTGCGCCTCTAAAGATTGCCACACCTCTCTACAAAAACTACCGAGGGGAAGGAGGTTAATGACTGGGGAAGAGAGGTAGCTGTAATAGGAAGAAATTAAAGGAGTGATATCACACTGGATTTCTCTCTTGCAGAAGGTGGTGTAGTTCTATTTAAAAAAAGAAAACCAGAGACAAGCAATCTATAATTCAAAATATTCCCCTTAAATCAAATCTGGTCATCGTTGATCAGTTTTGATTGCCTTGATGCGCTTTACATAGGTTACATTACATACATAGGTTAATTCACCACTCCCCATAGGGGCTTTTCAGGGCTAACACCCACCCAGGGGAGGACATCCACCACACGGTAATCTCGTGTGTGGGAAATTAACATCTCCTACCCCTAACCCTGCAGGAGACGGGACATATGGTTTATTCATCCTTATCCAAGAAGACTAGAATATCTATCCATTTCTTGATTATAGAAAGGTAGCAAATTCTCCTCAGTTATTTTAAGACCATGAGTATTGATCCGGCTGGGGCTCGAACCCTTGACCTCCCGCACAAC